CTCGACTATGGAACTTCCTCTCCAACAATATTAGATCAGCCCCCTCCCTCCTTGTCTTTAGGAGAGAAAAAAACTAAGTCCTGGTTCTGGAATCAGGCATTCGGGAATAGTGCAACACAGAATTGACAAAATTGATATGCAGCAACATAAAGGATGACCACGATTTTCATTATATTGTTTCAACAGGTTTTAACAGTTTATGTATTTGTATGCTTATTTGCTTGATGTTTTAGTGTGTTGTATTTTATATCTTTTTATATTGTGATGTGACACCAAAGTGCCCAGTCTGTAAGCCACTCTGAGTCCCCCTCATGGTGAGAGGAGTGCGGTATAAATATGAGAAATAAATAAATAAATATTTGCTCTTTCCCACACATTCATATTTCAAATTATTTCTACTTTAAATATATAGAAATCACAGAAGCTGGTAAATTTCATAAAATGTTAAGTGAAACATACTTGCTGTTGTATGCCTTCTAATTGTTTCAAACATATGGCTGCCTTAAAGCACATACCAACCCTGAATATACGGAAATCATTGATTTTTGTATATTAATTTTAAAAATAAATGGAAACACAATTCAAGACATTTCCAACTTATGCTAGCCCTAAGAGAAACCTATCACAAAAGGTTTTCCTACCAAGATTTATTCAGGAAAATGTTTCTTATTGCCTTCTTCTGTGGCTGGGAGTGTGTGACTTGTCCAAGGTCACCCAGTTAGTCTTAGGGGAATCCATATGTCTCTCAGCATACTTGTCCAGCATTTAGACTGTTATAACACAATTATCCTGGCCAAATTCAATTAGGTATCAATATCTGAAGCATAGAAAAGATCATACACCACCTGCTTAAGGTGTTAACAATGCAGTGTTTCCCACAAAAAGAGTGGCAGCAACTCAGCACTACAGCAGTTGAATACACAAGGATTCAAACCCAGACTTTTACAGAGTTAAGCACTCAAATATTTGGGCCTTGATGGACAAATATATTAAAATTTTAGGCAGAGAGTTCTTGCAGCACTTTAGAGAATAACTGGGGTCCCTTCCACACAGCTGAATAAAATTCCACATTATCTGCTTTGAACTGGAATATATGGCAGTGTGGACTCAGACAATCCAGTTCAAAGCAAATATTGTGGTATTTTCTGCCTTGATATTCTGGGTTATATGGCTGTGTGTAAGGGCCCTGAGAAAACAAAGATGATGGCATAAGCTTTTGGAAACTATGCAGCCAAGGAAGTAGACTGAAGCTATATCTGCATGACCAAAATAAAGTGAACTTACTGCTCAGCTGCTGCAGAGAGTCCATATGTGCACAGCTGGATTTGCAGTAGAACCTCTGCATCCAATCATTAATTTGTGCCAATGGGATACAGGATTTATTCTGGAGCTTTCAAGAAACTCTGATCTGAGCCTGTAGTTTGGGTGGTATGATAAGGGGATTGGACTGGATCCACCCTGATCCACTGTCCACACTGTCAGTGGACCCATTGCTGTGTCAATGTCGGCAAGCTACTTGCTCACACAGGCTGGACACATTGTACTTCTGGTCAAAATGGTTTTTGTTGCCAAGCCATGTGACCAGAAATACAACATTGCCAGCAGACCTCTTGAAAGGAACTGCTTGCTGGTGACAATGCAACTGCATTGGAGGAAAAAAATGTGTGAATCTTGGTAAATTGGTCAAATTAGTATTAAAAACCCAAAGTGAAATAAAATTCTCGCCAATTTCTGTCTTGGGCTACTTTGCTCTTCACAAGGCTATTAGTAGCCCTACTCTGTACCTTGTGTCTCAAGGCAGCTGAATGTCAATAGGATCCAAACCGCGGCTTCTCCAGATGTTTTCAATATGTCTGGAGAACTCTCAGATAAGTAGAACTGCAATGTTACTTCCTTCTTCGGGCCACTTCACACAAGATGATTTCATTTAGGGTTATCACTTCCAGGTGGATAAATCATGTGTAAGCTGTAAGCATGCCAGAACTAGCAACAGATAAAGCAACACACATGCAATTTTAAGGACATGCAGAGAGAAATACTGTGTGCATGCATGTTCTTGCCCCATGGACACATGTGTGCTTCATGAGTTCATTCGCCCACTTTGGAAGTAATAGGTGATGGTTGAGTTTGGCCCTATTCCCCCTTTTGGCCCTCGTTACCAACTGTATTTCCATGCTGCTTTTCCACTCTGAGGAGTTTTCTTTCAGTACACAACTGAACATAAGCAGCTACAGCCTCCATCTGCCTATCACTGCCAAACACCTGGGTGAAACAGAGAAAAAGGAAATAAAAGGAAACTTCACACAGTTTGTTCCAGAGGCAACCCAACACCTCCTGGGTGCCTTTCTGACGGTGAGAACTTGTCAGCAATCTATTTTCAAAAGTGTGGGAAAAGAGAGAACTTTATCATGTACCATCCTCCAATTGTGTATGTGTGACAGACGGAGAGAAAGCAGAAAGAAACCAATAAGAGACTGATTTGCTTTTATATTTTTAGGAAAAAGAAAGAGTGAAGATAGCAATGCACTGGGGTTTGGTCCCAGGATCCACGTGGATACCAAAATCCATGGACGATCAGGTCCTGCTATGTACAGTAGTGTAATAAAATGGCATGTTTCCAAGTCCTTGGATGAGAAGGGCTTGTTGTCTTTTAACTGGAGTGTTATATAATTGAATGATGCGGGGTGGGATCTTTTTGGCACTGTCCATCTTTGGTTAGGATCGCCAAATGCTTTCCTTTGGGTGAACACTTTAAACATGCTCCAAAGTTGTCCCAAAAGACCAGCCCTTGTCCTAAGGTGGTGTTTCTCATCCTAGGAGTCGGGACTCCTGGAGGGCTGCGAGAGGGGGTGCCAAAGGCAATCAGAAAACATGTATTTCTGATGGTCTTAGGGACCCCTTTGGCAGAGAATGCTGAAAATCTCACCCCCTGTTCTTCTCTTCCTGTTTGGAAACAGAATGCTCTTTGATTGTAAATGCACTATAAACCCCAGAAACCACAACTCCCAAATATCAAGATCGATTTCCTCCAAACAGCACCAGTGTTCAAATTTGGGCACACTAAATATTCATGCCAAGTTTGGTCCATATCCATCATTTTTTGAGTCCACAGTTCTCTCTGGGTGTAGGTGAACTACAACTCCAAAACTCAGGGTCAATTCCCACCAAATCCTTCCCATATTTTCCATTGGTCGTGGGAGTTCTGTGTGCCAAGTTTGGTTCAATTCCATCATTGGTGGAGTTCCAAATGCTCTTATATTGTAGGTTAGCAATAAATCCCAGCAACTACAACACCCAAATGACAAAATCAATCCCCCTCAATCCCACCAGTATTAAATTTGGACATATTGGGTATTTATGCCAAATTTGGTCCAACGAATGAAAATATATCCTGCATACCAGATATTTACATTATGATTCATAACAGTAGCAAATTTACAATTATGAAGTAGCAACTAAAATAATGTTATGGTTGGGGGGTCACCACAACATGAGGGGTCACAGCATTAGGAAGGCTGAGAAGCACCGTCCTAAAGCCTGCCTAGAAGTCATTGCATAAGAAAGCCACTACATCAGGCATGGGCAAACTTGGGCCCTCCTGCTGTTTTGGACTTCAATTCCCACCATTCCTCAGGCCTTTGCCTTTTCCCTCTCACCACCAGGTTTCTTGTATCATGATCCTGTCTAGAGATTCCAGTTTCCTGCCACTTGGAGCAGCTGAGAAGGTGACAATGGAGACTAGGGGCTCTTCCACATAGCCCTATATCCCAGAATATCGAGACAGAAAATCCCACATTATCTTGAGTGTGGGCTCAGATAACCCAGGGCCCCTTCTACACATCCATATAACCCAGAATATTAAGGCAAGAAATCCCACATTGACCGTAGTAGCCAGGATTTTGATTTGAGTCTGAGTGAAAGAGGGTCTACCCTAGCAAACCTTTTGTATCATTACCCCAATACCCCCATGCATGTGGGATATATTGAGTATGGTGATCAGATCATGATATGAATAAACATAACAGTTTAAATAATGCACCAGTAAGGCCTTTTCGCGAACCACCATGAGAATTTCGGGGGGGGGGGGGCTGAAGCCCCTCAACCCCCCCCCCCCACTACATGCCTGCCTCCAGGTGATTTGGACTGAAGGAGTTGAAAGAAGTTGAAGTCCAAAACACCTGAAGGGCCCAACTTTGCCCATGCCTGCATTCCATGTTTTTCTCCAGTGAGCAGAACCAGAGCTAAACTGGAAGGGAGAGGAAGGAGTCAGTCAAGGTGTGTGTCTTGGAGGACGGGCTGGAAAGCAAAGGGGGGATCCCAGGACAGGATGGCACCTCCGCAGGGCTTGCTAGGAACAGGGGGGTCCCATGTCTCTCCCCCAAACCCAGGCGTTCCTTCTGTGCCCCTTCCCAGAAGTGGCGGCGATCTGCAAAGCCCTGTCTCTTTAATAAACTGACTGCCTTCTGTCGGGCTCGGGAGTAAATTTCATCCTGTCATCAGGTCGCGGAGGAGGAGTTTGTTAATGTACAGTTTGCTCAGTGGATCGATGTTTGCTGGCATCGCCTCGCCCTGCCTGTGTGTGTGTGTGTGTGTGTCTCTCTCCCTTTCCGTGTGTCTGTCTGTCTCTCTGTGTGTGTGTGTGTGTTCATCGGGGATGGCGAGCGTGCAGGCGAGTGTGAAGGCGCGTCCCCGCCCGCGTGCGCGCACGTGGATGTGAGTGTGTGCGGACCCTGCCCCCCCCCCTTTCCCTTCCCATCCCTTTCCTTCCCTTCAACCGCGCACCCGCTCGCTCCCCTCCCATCCCAAGCTTGTCTGTCCTCTTCCCCTATCACTCACAACCTGGCATCTGACAGCAACAAACCTGCAGTTTTCTCAGCAAACACTCACCCATCCGCCATAAGAGAGCGACGCGCAAAGAGGCGGCGAGAGGAGGAGGAGGAGGAGGAGGAAAAGGAGGGGGGGGTGCCAAAGAACAGAAAGAAAGAGAGAAAGAGAGAGAGAGAGAAAGGGGGCGAGAGGCAGGGGGCAAGGCAAGAACAACTCCCCTCCCGACACACACACACACACCCCGAGCTCCTTTCCAAACCAAACTCTCTCTTCTTGATTGATTGATCCACTTTGAGCAACATTCTCTCTCCCCCTCTTAAGTCCTGCTTTCGCCTTGGAGGTTTGTCTCAAAGCAAGTCTTGCAACAGTTCCAAGCAAACTAGAGATTCCCCCCCCCTTCCTAAAGGAAACAAGACAGCCCCCCTCCCCTCTTCCTCCCGCACACAAGATCTCTCTTTAAGGGGGAAATCTTGGCAATCCGGAGAACAGGTTGATCTCGTCCGCGAAGTGCCAAAAAGGAGCCGAGAAGGAGACGAGGGCAAGGCAAGGGGGCCAAGAGGAGAAGAAGAGCGGAGAGAAGGAAGATCGGGCAAGGAAGGAAGGAAGGAAGGAAGGAAAGGAGGAGGGAGGGGGACCCTCCACAGCCGCATCCACATCCACATCCACGCGCGACGAGGGAGAGTCGGCAAGCGAAAGCAAGCCCCGCGAGCCTGAGGAAGAGGAGTGCGGCTGGGGAAAGTACCGCGATGCCAAGGAGGAAACAGCAGGCACCCAAACGGGCAGCAGGTAAGGCAAGGCAGCGCTGCTGGGCTTTGGCACAGCCTCCCTTCTTTCCTCCTTCTCCCCCATCACCAGCACGCTTGGGTTGGAAAGTCCTCCCCTTCTTCTTTTTTTCTGGATCCTGATTTGGACCGCAGCTTGATCTTTTTGGAGCTCTTCCCCCCTGCCTTCCTTCCTTCCCTCTCTTGCCTCTGTCTCTCTCTTACGCACCTGGAGCAAGGTCGGATCCATCTCTTTGCAGCCGAAACCCGGCCCTGGCTGGCCTTTGGTGCTCGGGGCTCTTCTCTCTCTCTCCCCCCCCCCCTCTTCCCGCTCTCTTTTTTGGGAGGCTGTTTTCGATAAAAGAGGGGTGTGATTCGCCGCCTGGTCTTGGCTTGGCGCTGCCATCCTTGGGCTCCTTCTTAAACTTTTGTTGTCCTCCCCCCAACTTTCTTCCGCTTGGTTTCTCACCTCTTTCCCCTCCTCGTGCCCCTTCCTGCCCCCCCCCCCCCCCCCCACAATTGATGGTGATAATAACATTGCATCCTCAGCACAGAGACGAGGAGCTGTTGGGTTCTGTTTCGCAATGCACTGCGTTGGGAAATTAAAAAGGCAAGGCAAGACTATTTCCAAAACAATCCATGAAGATTGCCTTTTTCCTCGAGCCTGGTTTTTCTGGCGCTTGTGTGCCTCTGTGTTTGTGATAAAACAGACGAGTAGGAGGAGAGGGGGAAGTGACTGGCTTGTCTCTGTTGATCAACCCTTTGGTTGAAGTTCAAACCTTTGATCATTCCTGGAAATGTGATGGAGGGGGCTGGGTGGGTGCGGGAGAACTCCACAGGAAACAAACTAAGCATTTTGACGGTTTGGGAGGCAGCCCCTTAGATTCCCATCAAGTCCATCTTTTCCAGCTTCCTCGCTTGCACGTTATGATTCAAGTTTATAGAGCCCCCCTCTCTCCCTTTAAAGGCCGTGCAAGGGTCAAAGGCAACTTTAGGGCTGCTTTTGGAAGGCGTTGAAGCAGTCTCTAACTTTCCAAGGGAAATGTTCCTTTACTCTTGGGTTTCTGGAGAATCAAAGGGTGAGGAAGTGCATATTTAAAAAAGTTTAGGGGTGGAAGGAAATGGGCTGCAGATAGGTCTGTAGAATCAATCTCTTTCAAAGTAGGTTGGGTTTACCTTGCTTATCTTTCTATATACATGTGCGTGTGTGTGTGTGTGTGTGTGTTTTTAAATACACGGTTGTTTAATTGTTTTCAAAGAGCGAGGAAAATAGTTTGCTCTGATTTTCTTTCTGGGCAGTGCAGCATGAAAGTTCATTTTTCTGTCACCAGACCCACCCACTGGAAAAAAAAATCAGGTTTCCAGTTGATTGCCAGCTTTGATTTGACATTTGATTGATCACCTGTCATCTTGCTGCCTTTGATCTATTCATTCTTGATATATATCAATAAATCACTCACTATGGTAACCTGAGTGCTTGTGACGCAAGCCTTGCCCTCTCGAATCTCTTAGCCAGACATGCACAATTATTATCTTGTTTGGCTTTAATGTGGGTGGGATTTTTTACTTCTTCTTTTCCTTTGTGTTCAGTTAGATTTAGAGCTGTGTAGTAAAAGTAAGCAGTTAAAAAAAAACCCAATAAAGCAAAACCAATCTCGGACTCCTTCACCTAGGGAAAATCAATTACTATCTTACATTTCTATATTATACTTTAACATGTGGGAACATTTCAATATAAACATTGGAAACAATCTTCAACGGGAATGTTTAGATACTTTCCAGAAGTAGAAATCAATTTGGAAGAGGAAGGAAAACTTTTACAAACTTAACCCACTTCTACATTTTTTACTTTTCTTTAAAAAATACACCTCACGTGTTTACTTTGATTCATCGAACAGCGAGACACATGCATTCTCACATTTATTTCAGAAAACAAGCATCAAAGAAAATGATTGTAATCTAAAGATTCTTTGGTGTGGTTTCTTAGAAGATTTGCCTAAGCAACATCAATGAATATAAGTAAGACCATAGTTTTAGGATGGTCGGTCTACTGTTTTGACAGACAACATAGAGGTGCAAGCTTTTACATTATCACCACATATAGATAGGACCTGGATTGCTTTTGTGTGTGTGTTTGTGTGTGTGTGAATTTTTCCTAGAAATATAAGATACTTTAGATTCTAAAAGTAAAACAATTTGAAAAAGTCTTTTACCTTCTGAACACCCTCATTTAATTATTAAGACTCTAATAACTTAAGAAATTATTTTTCCTGCAAGTATAGACAACCGTTATTCTTCCAGCTATTGGATCTTCAAAGTATAGGTGTAAATTCTGCAAATGTGTTTTCCTATTGATTAATTTGCTTGCTTTTCCAAGTGTTCTAGGATTTGGGAGTAGGGAATATGAAGGAAAAGAAAAGTGCAAAGTGCCATATGGGAAATAACAATATTGTGAAATAACCAGCTCATATTTGGTCACATCCTTCTAGTTAGTTAGCAGTCTTAGTCTTCATCCAATGTGCCACTCCCTTGATCAACATTTTGATGCATTTTTTGGAAAGGTTTCCAGATAACTGAGTAGCACTTTGAAGGACTTGCCTGTATCCCAATCAGTAATTTTTCTGTCCAAAGTACTATATAGTTCACTTTCAAGTCTTCCTTTTATAATTTTGTTTGGTTTCTATTCCATACAGTCTCAGAGTGTGAGTTAGCTGATTCTGCTACAAAAGTTCAGATTCATCCAGTATATTAAACAATTTTGTACCCTCCCTGTACAATTTTTGTGTTGGGTTTACGTGTTCTGTCTATAAGGACTAAGCAACATTGCTCTAGACATTTTAGTAAGTTTACTTTCATTTTCCTAGCTCTGGCTTAACAGTTCTGTCCTATTAAAGTCATTTATCTACTGCCTTTCCACTCACATGGGACTGAAGTGACATTAAACGTGTAAAAGATTAAATAGAGATATTTCTAAAACTCCTCTTCAAAATACTTTTAAAATATTAGATAAATACAGTTTAAGGACCTGAAGGAAATGAGGAAGGGGTGGACAAAATAATTGGTTCCACAAAGGTTTAGCACGCATCCTAGCTGCCCTTTCTTTATATGTAAGATATTTTTTAACAGAATGCAAGAAGCTCTATATATGAAATGGTCTATTCAAGGTCAGTTCGGTTATAGTTTTGGGCTCACTTTCTCAGAAAAGTTTACAACTTTCTTAGGCAGTTAGCCTCCAAAGGTAGAAGAATAGTAAATGGTATCATTCTGGAAGTGGCTGCCTTGTTCTATGCCTGAAATTAAATACTATGCCCAACTGTAAATAATTATGTCCAAGCATTGACTTCGAAAGCAGGTTTCTCATTTGATTAATGAACGACGTAAAGGTTAGAGAGAACAAGCAAGTGAATCAGCAGGGTTGTCCAGCTGCTTGATGAAAATATACCTACATGGTGAATTTCCCCTTCCCCATTATTAATTTCTAAGCCATGAGATCCTCTATCATGTGTTAAGGAATGTGGTAATAATGAAACCTGGTGGTGCAAGTAGATACGTGGGTGTTTGTATGGATATTTAGGTTTGATGATCGCACATTTTGTCCTTAACTCATTAAAAAAATCGTACTCTCTGAGTCAGGAAAACAGCGATGTCAAACACATATGTTCCCCTTGACTCATTTTTCATCAGCATTGTTCTTCCTTTTTCACTATTGTCTGCATAATTTGTGAAGCAGATGTTTGAATATTTTTAGGTTAGTGCCTGACATTACATCATACATTTATTTGTAATGATATATTACATGTGCATTGTTATCTTCCATCCCCAAAGAGCCCAAGGTGCTTTGCAGACTGTCGGTCCGATTCCCTTCTTCTCCCATGACTCTGAGACAGGAGGGATTCTCCTGTAGCCAATGGGATTACATTGTGGTGAGAAAGATGAGCATCAGGCCGACCATGTTTTGCTGAATTATATAAAAATAAATGCAGCTGTCTCTGGGGAGCAGCCATTGCATGACCCAACACAATTGAGGGGAAAGGAAAAGCTAGGACTAAGACTGAATTGATATGTTAATTCCATTTTTATTTCTCTGTATCGGAAATAGCTTTCAAACCCAATTCCACAGGATTAAGCTCTCCTCTCCTCCTACAGCTTGTTGAGATGTGCATATTTTATTTTGCAAATCATGAATTTGCTGCTCATTGCTAGTGAATATAATTCTGGACTTAATGCTTTTCTTTTTTGCCCCTCTTTAGTTCTCCTTCCTCTCTCTCTCTCTCTCTCTCTCTCTCTCTCTCTCTGTTGGGTCTGTTTAAGAAGCAAAAACTCCAGGTACCAGAGAGAGAGAGGGAGGGAGGGAAAGAGAGAGAGAGAGCACAACCAGGTGTGTTCACTTTGTTTACTTGAGCTAGAAATGAATAATGCAGATTTTGTTTTCATGAAAGTCCTTGTGTGGCAGTAAACATAAGGCTATTAGCAATCATTACTTAAAAGTTGCAATTTGCACATTAATAGTACCACTTATTAAAATTGTGAACAATCCATTCAGACAAGGCAATCTGCATTCTTTTGGGCAAACTTAGCAAACACTTTGGCCTGGTGCATGGTGTCAGGGAGAGAGGCATACAAAAATAATGTTAACTCTCATCCCTACTATTAGGAAGATAATAAAACTGGGTTTTGGACAAGATAGATCCTGCATGGTGCAATAAAACTTTGCAGAGTCCCTTTCTTATACTCTTTCAGAAAAGGAGGTTGACCTCAAAAACATCCAAGTGTTTCTTGCATCAGAATGCTATCTCCCTATATCACTGCATGGACAGATGGTATGAAACTCAAACTGTACACCAAAAGTAAAGACTTTTGGGTTCTCAGATGAGTAACATGTCTCTCAGCAGTCTTATCCCCCTATTAGATAACATACGGATTGTGTTCTGGGATAAGACAAATGCCTCAATTTCTTTCTTATATGCAAGTTGTGGCTGGCATGAGTTACAGGGAGCCACTTGTGTATCAGAAGTCTGTGAAGTG